GTAAAAATCAAGTAGACAAAACTAAAATCCAACCTCCATCAATACAGCAGGGTTGGAGCGAGTCCGCGTCTGCACCTGTCCCCATAATCATGTCGAACCCCATGTCATTTAATCCACCAGCTGACATAGGGATATCCGGCGATGTCAATCGAATTAACCGATTGGCCAAGGCCATATCAAAGGCGTGACTTGTAAAGTAGGCATATGGAGAACGAGAGACAGTGGGAACAGAGCCAGAAAGTTGTATTCCGGAGGAAAAGGTGATGTCAGCCAAGGGATTTGATTCGGTGGATAGGGGTGAAGAATGTAGGTCCAATGAAGCAGTACAAATTGCCTGTAATAATTGCCAGGCTTGAATACGAGTTTCCTGGTCCATCGATGAATCCTGTAACAGAAGGATAAAAAGTTTATAATGTTAATATAAAAAAAGCAGAAGCAATAGCTATTAAGAGTAAAGGACAATCAGCTTACCATTAAAGATGAAATATGTATTTTTCATTGCTAAATTGACCAACCTAGTGATTAAATCTTTGCTTAAATTTTTAACTGTTATGATCTCAGTATATTGATTTAGAGAATACTATAAGGCCTTGAATGATTGGTTTTCGAAATATTAGATAGCAAAGACACTACATCGAAACTTACCAGCAAATCTACTCTATTTTCTGATGAATAATTAACTTTGTAGTCGAAGGAATCCTTTATCAAAAACTTCAAAGTTTCAATAATTTGCTATAACTGAGTACAAATAAATCGTGAGTCAATTTGGCCATGAATAATAGGTATATTAGCTTCCCTGGTAAGTTTTATAAGCAAACGCGTGGCTTGGCTATAGAATCTTGGTTAGCCCCTCTTTTAGCTAATAACTGTACGGCTTAATTAAAAATGATGAGTTTGAAGATGCACTCTTATTTCCAAAGTTATTCGTTAGATATATAGAAGAATAATTTGCGGCTTGGCAAGACGGCAAAGACAATTTAGGTAAATTCCTTGATAATTATAAATAGTATAGAAGTTGTTTGACTTC